AGCATGAAAGGGAACCTCGGGGGCAATTTTCTGAAGCACTTTTTAGGACTATTACATGGGGAATAACTGGCAACTTAAAATGAAGGGGCATAGCTGCTGTGTTACATGTAAAGGGTGGCTGTTGTAAACTGCCCTTTTACCCTAAATTCCACAGGGCAGTAATATTTTTTGCTGATAATGTAGCAAGCCACAGTGCACACATTTTGACAACTAAAATTCATTTCTGAATTGGCAGGAACCAAAGAGAGATTCTCAGATCAGGGAAACCCAGGCTGGGATTCCCTTTGATCTAGTTTAGTTTAGGCCCTGTGCGAGATGAATATATCAGAATTAGAAAATAGGCTAAAACGTACTCATGCAAAGCCTAAATGTTTTAAGTGCTGCGAACAATTTCAACAATGCTTTTTTTCAATAAGGATACCAAACATTGGTTAATAAAACAATTTCCTACAAGAGCTCTCTTAATTATTTTGAAAACATACAATAACAAGATGTGCCTTGGAGTTACTATATGAACTTAAAACTAAGAATGAATTTTACCAGAGATTTTCTGTTTCAAAACTCTAAATGAAGTCTGCTTGGCTATTATGCTGTAATATAAACCAGGGCCACAAGGAAGGGAAGTTCTCATCTCATTTACATTATTGTAAAGCAAGAGTAACTCAATTAAAGTCAATAGCTTTGAACTTCCTTAAACAAGACAAGACCTATAAGGGATTACAAGGTTGTTTTAAGCATGCCCAGTTAAAAAAAAACTCAGTCTTATCAGGTTTTACTTACATGGCCTGCAGGCCAGTTGTACAACCTCACTTTGCTGCTACTAGATTGGTTATGTGTGTAATTTAGCACAGCTCTATGTAGTGTTTTAAATGCAGAGGTCTAATTTCTCCCCATGCTCCTCCCTCACCCCCACTCTCCTAAAAGAAAAAACCAACACATGCTAATACAGATATTAATTGCAAAGCCACAAAAAGTTTTGCATTATAAATAGGTAAAGTCTTGAAGAAACTCAGCACATGGACGAAGTTTTCACTCGCATATCCAGATTCAGACTGAAGGCGGCAGAGTAATCTAATCTGATTTCCTGTATATCATACTCACAGAACGTGAATCAAATTATTCTTAGGGCCACAACACAGGTTTGACTAAAGCAAGTCTTTCTGAAAGACACCAGGCCTAAGATGAAAGCCTTAGAGAGAGGGAATCTGTCACCTCCCTCATGACTTCTTTTTGCCTTAGAATTGCTCTCACTTTAAAGGAATTTTGATCACAAATTTGTTTATATTCAGTTAATCATGTTCTTCCCTGCTAGACTAAAGAGCTTGCAGAGCCTTTGTCCCTACGGAGCTACTCAGATTATACAGAATCATCTTTCAACCATTTTTTCCCTTTCCTTTAATACCCTAAGGAAGGCTGAGCTCTTTAAGACTCACTGTTAAGCTTTTTCAGTCCTTGACACTTTGGAAAGGCTATTCTCTGCATTTGGTCCTATATTTTAATGTTGATACTAAATATGAATATTGTATGCCTCTATCATCTCTGTGCTGTCACAGAGAAACAGGAATACTCACCCCCTTACACTAAAGCTCCAATATGTGGCTTCTCTGGTTTGAAGACGTAGGACAATATGTGGGCCTGACTGACAGGAGAGTACAGCTTGCTGTTTGCCTGGCCTACCCCCTGCATCAGGCATCAGCTTTGCTGGTGATACATTTAAAATTAACCTTGGTTAATAGAATGCATTTGTTCATACTCAAAAAAGGCCCAGTAGGATGAAATGCTGAACACTGCAAAGGAACAGAAAGAGGAAAGCTATAGAAGTAACCAGTAAGTGTTTAAATACAGAATCTGTTCTGCCATAATTATGGCAAAGATGGAAGAAAGCCTGCAAAGTGAAGCTTGCCTCACAAATAAGAAAACTGCCATTAAGACACTAAAACTGACATGACTGATTAAGAAAGATCAGATAGCCAGACCCCTAGCTTTTCTCTCCAACATGATCTTCTCAGCAAACATGGGCCTTTCATTTCCAGTGCTAAAATCAAGTTAGGACACCCAATTTCAGATATACATAGAGTCATAGAATTGTTAAGGTTGGAAAAGACCTCTGAGATCATCAAGTCCAACCATCAGCCAAGCACCACTATGTCCACTACTATTAAACCATGTCCTCAAGTTCCATATCTACACTGTTTTTGAACAGTTCCAGGGATGATGACTCCACCACTTCCCTGGGCAGTATGTTCTAATGCTTTACAACCATTTCCATGAGAAAGTTTTTCCTACTATCTAATCTAAACCTACCCTGACACTGCTTGAGGCTATTTCCTCTCATCCTGTCACTTATCACTCGGGAGAAGTGACTGACTCCTACCTCCCCACAACCTTTCAGGCAGTTGTGGAGAGAAATAAGGTCACACCTGAGCCACCTCTTCTCAAGGTTAAGCAAACCCAATTTCCTAGGCCATTCCTCATACAACATGTTTTCCAAACCTTTTAGGAACCCCATCTCCCCTGGCTGGATTCACTCCAGCACCTCCTTCTCTGGCTCCAGCACTTTGATGTCTTTCTTGTAGTGAGTGGTCCAGAACTGAACACAGAGCTGAGTAGAGAGGGATGATCACTGCCCTGCTCCTGTTGGTTACACTATTCCTAATACAGGCCAGGATGCCACTGGCCTTCTTGGCCACCTGAGCACACTGCTGGCTCATGTTCAGCTGGCTGTCAACCAACACCCCCAGATCCTTTTCTGCTGAGCAGGTTTCCAGCCACTCTGTCCCAAGTCTGTAGTGCTGCATAGGGTTGTTGTGATGAAAGCGTAGGACCTGACATTTTGCCTGGTTGAACCTCATAAAATTGGCCATGGCCTATTGATCCAGTCTGTCCAGATCCCTCTACAGAGCCTTCATGCTCTCCAGCAGATCAACACTCCCACACAACTCAGTGTCATCTGTGAACTTGCTAGAGGGACACTCAATCCCCGTGTCCAGGTTGTTGATGAAGTTATTAAACAGGGCCAGCTCCAATACTGAGCCCTGGGGAACATCACATGTGACTGGCCACCAGCTACACTCTGGACCTGGCCATCCAGCCAGTTTTCACCCAGTAGAGAGTACACCTGGCCAAGCCATCAGAAGCCAATTCCCAAAGAGAGGGCTCAGGATATTTCTCCCCTTAGGAAACTTGGAAAGCAGGATTCACTGCAGAGACAGCTTCCCAAATCTTCAAACCCATATGAAATGAAAGATGTACTGATTAAATTTTTATATAGGTACCAAAAAATTCCTTGAAATGTCTTTTAAGAAAAGACACCACGGCCTGGTGGGACAGAAAATCTTGACACATTTTCTTTGGACTACATGCTTAGCCTAGCTGATGTACATGGAAATTTACACCAGAGCACTTATCTGAATTTAATCATGGCTGTGGGCAGGCAGAGCATTTGGGTGGTAGCAGTCTTTCGCCTTACAAAGGACAGCCTGCTAAAAGATTTCTTTTTCCCCTCGCAACTGGGCTGCCAACACTGGAGCTGAAAATAAATCAACATGACGACTGTGTGAAGACCTGGGCAGTGAAAAATTCCACCAGAAAGGCCTCTATTGAAAGCTGAGAAATACACAAAGCTTGGGGAACATTAGGAAGCAAGCCTGCTGGTTTATAGAAGTGCAGTGGGGGCATACATCTCTGGTCTCTACAACATTGGTTTATATTAAGCTTTATTTTAAGAGTGATGATTAGGTTGGCTGTGTTTCAGTCCCAGTGCCAAAGATCCCAAATAAATATCAAATACTCTCCAGGGCTTCCTGCCACCCCTACCCACTGCATTTGAACCATGCAAATTAGACAGAATTGACATTGGAATTCTTAAGTCTGGGAGAGAACCATGTATTTCCAATCCTTGGGGCATTTTTCATCCTGTTTATATGAATATAGACGTGCTAGGCATATACTGCTAATTCAGTGGGTTACAGAATATTCAGCATGCAGCACTCTGTCACTAGTCTGATTTGTAGGGTCCAAATGCAAAGTTAAAAGCATACAGGTTCACAAACAAACCATACTGAAACCAAGGGACACAGAGGAGCCACCTGGGACCTTGAATAGTTAAAGATGGCACTGATTCCCCCTGCATTATGAGAGAGGAAACCAGGGGATCAACATTACTCTCAACATGTTGGAGCAATACCCACAGAGGCACCTCCATCTCTAGACCCCATGAACATGAGGACATTAGTCACTGTGGCATCCCTACATACTACACTAGTACTGACTCCTTTAATAGTCAGGCGGATCCAGAACCATAGAAGCCTTGCCTAGCTTTAATCATCACAATTCATTCACAATGGCCTGTCTGGACGCAGTGCTGCAGCTGCTGAGCTGAGAGGATCTGCTGTTCCCAAGCAGGAGGGGGAGACACAGCCTCAGCTTTCCTCCAGTCCCCCAGAAATGCAGAATTGTGCCCACCTCTTGCAAGAGGCCTGACCTGTTGCTCCTTCTAAAAGGGGTGGACAGGCAGCTGGTCAGAGAGGAGGGCCATGAAAAACAGCTCCTCTCCTCATCAGCAGGCTGGCTGCAGCCCCACAGCAAAACCACAGCACTGCTACTGCCAAGAACTCGGTTCACATTCTTCGCTCCCTGTGGTAGCCACTAGGCCACACGGTCTCCTTCAATCCATTTGCATTTTATTAGGTCTTTTCATGCACCAAGGGACAAAAGAACAAGCCACTTCCTCCCACTGAGCTCTCATTTCACACTTCAAATGGGCTATACTAACCTTTATGGCGGAGCAGCTGCCAGGGCGGAGGGGTGGGAGGAGGCAGGCTGGGCTAGGATGACAGGACAGAGCAGTGACTGAAGATGCAGCCTCAGATCCTCTCCCAGCAACCCAGAGGAACCCAAATCTGTCAGAGCAACATCTTTCCCTCCTGCCCCCACCTCAGGGGTACTTGAGGCTCTGCAGCCCCCGGGTGGCATTCAGCCAGAGTGTTTTCTGGACTCACCTCCCACCCCCAGTAGGTGCTGCTGAGTTAATAGCCTGTACCATGTCCGTAGTCAGAGCATCGAGTAAGCTGGTAATAAACTCAACTTTCTTCCCTTCTGGGCAGCCTGCAGAAAGAAAAGAGGAGATTTAATGCAAGGACACACAGGCTTGGTCTCCTATCCCAGTTCAGCAAGGATCAGCCAGAATCTCCTTTGTTTTTAACACAGCAACCATCAGTCCCTAAGGAAAAGCAGAAGAATCCATCAGTGGGTTTCTCTGCATGGCAATTTGTCCTGCAGCTTTTGTCCAGGCACATGCAGGGTCATCAACAATCTCTGGCAGAAAGACTGTGTGGTTAGCTTTATGGTCTCGCCCAGTTCTCTACCAGCAAAACCGCAGGGATGTGCTGGAAGTGCCTGGCAGACAGGAGTTCCCATGGTGACACTTGCAGAGAAGTTTACAAAACAACTCATGACCTCCTGGATCATCTTCTGATGCAAACATGGCTGTTCTGAGGTCCTAACCGACAGCTGAAAATGTCCCAGAGCACACAGCAAGATTTGCCGCTTGCCGCTCTTCAGGCACTGGGAGTGTTGGCTGCCAGCACCTACCACAGTCATTCATTTCTTTGCATGATCACACTACACAGGAAATACGTCAGTCTGAGTCAACATGTGGTAATCACCTCCAGTCACTGCTGCCTTAAAGCAGGACAAAGCAGGTTGAAGATTAGCTTGGTAACCATTTCCATTACTTAGTGCTGAGGCTGTCTAGTTTCCCACCAGCATAACCACAGAGCCTCCTATCCTAAACAGTGCCAGCCTGTTACAACATATCTGAGACAAAACTCTCCATCTCCTCACCTTTAAAAGGCAATCTATGCTGTTTCCTTGCCTCTTAAAAGGGCAAAAGCATGCTTCATTTACTACCACATGAATACTGTAACAATTGCTCTAGTCTAACAAAGAACAAGCATACTTAACTTCAGCCCACCACCTTCAAAACTATTGCCCAAAACCCATCACCTCCCATCCTATGGTCTCCTCTTTATGTGACAGAGAAGCCATCACTACATCCCTCACCTCTTCTCTTTCCTCAAACCACCATGCACTACCAATGATTCAGCTGATTAAGGCAGCAGACATCAGAAAACAGCCTCCCACAGCAACATATAGCAGTGTCAACACTTTCTGCTTTTCTCAAACAAGCAGGGAAGCACGCCTACCCCAAAGAGAGCACCAGAAACTTACTGCAATCCCTTGACAGCTGAAGCAGCTTGCAAATTGATCTGACAAAATCCCCTCCTTTGCAGGATTACAGGCTCTGTCCTCTGCAATAGCTAACTAACAGTCCCTTGCCTGTCTCCGTACTATGGACATTACACACACGCACACCCCTCAGCACTCATTTGGCACACGGTCTAGAAAATGTCAGCATTGTAATGGGTAAGCTGCTATTGCAGCCAGAGTAGACCACTCAAAGGAGTTTTTTGTTGCAGTAATGAGAAGGCTGAAAAACTATTTGCTGTAAGTCATCTCCCTGGGGTCTCAGCATCTCCCTGTCTACAGGAATTAGCAGGTTGCCCTTTGCTACATACAGGCAACATTTTCCTTCCTTTTTTTTTTCCCTTCCTGGCCACAGTCAGGACAGTTTGTAAAGAGGGTATGTGTAGGTGTGCAAGGGCCTGAACTTATGCCTCCCTCACCCTGGCCTCTACAGGGTGTCTTTACACAGACCAGGTAGCATTCCACCACCTGCAAAACTGAGAGTCTAAAGAATGGGCACACCTCTAGAAGAGGTCCCCCTGACAGAACCAGGTGCAAGTGGAACAAACAGTCTCAAATTAAAGCAGGGATTTTTCCTTAAAATTCAGTTCTGAAAAGAAAAAGAACAAAATAAAAAATCAAAAGAAACAATCAGAAGATCGTGCAGCACAGCATCTCTCATTCAGACAAATCAGGATCAGATCCTCCATTTCCCAATATTTCCATAGATAAGGGTATTTTCAGTGACAGGAACCATCAAAGAATCATAAAAAGTGGTAAGGATTGGAAAGGACCTTAAAGATCATCTAGTTCCAACCCCCCTGCCATTGGCAGGGATGCTATTCATTAGATCAGGTTGCTCAGGGCCACATCCAACTTGGCCTTGAACACTTCCAGGGATGGAGCATCTACAACTTCTCAGGGCAACAATCATGCCAACCAATGCAGCTAAACACTGAGCTTCAGGTTTACTCAGGCACAGAAAAGTGGATTGAGCTGAGAGGGAAACTCTCCTGGAGTCTGATACTGGGACCAGACCACTAAGCTACATAGCACCATGTGTCGTCCTCTGCATCAAGCCATTCCTGTCCCCTTGTCTGGCTTCAGTGTAGAAGGGAAGGGAGAAGGGAAACAAAACCATTTTGTCTTCATGAGATCAGAAAGAGTCTTAAAGAAAAAGCCCAAGAGCAAAAGGTAGGAGTTCTGGAGAGACAGGGGGGAACTGCAAGAAGAGGCAATAAGGCAATGGGAGAAGGGGATGAGGACTCAGGGAAGCAAGGTAATTCTATTTTACTGTGATTTCCTACAGAAATGACCCTTAATGCAATCATTTAGCTGTTTTTCCTTCTGCTACCCCCCAGTGTAATACTTGAACCAATTGGTCAATTTCCTATGAATGTGAGCAGGAGGCAGATATGAAATTTCTACATGACTTGTGAAAATGAGGAGCTGCGTAGAAGAGAGCCTTGCTGAGGGCAGAGCAGTTAGGCAGAAAGCTATGGGGTCTGAGACCAGGAGCCAGCAGGAGAAAAATTAGGAAACCCAGAAGGCAAGTCTGGAACAAATCTTATTTCCTTTGCTAACCAGCTTGAGGAAACTCACCTTATGCTAGCCATAGAAAGAGCCAGCAGAAAATGAAGTCAATTCAGAGCTACCAGCTCTTTCAGCAGTTATTGGTCTCCACCACTCCCTCAGGGTGGAGAGGGACCCACTGTAGCTTCTGTTATCAAGCAGTCCCCCCTCAGGAGACCAATGATTGAGCTGTCAGTGAGGGCCCCTTACTCTGCCCCTTAGAAAGGCAGCCAGAATTGCTTCTGAAACTAGGGAACAGGCATAGCATTTTTAACAGCTGCACAGACACTTATGTACAGCACATCTTCCTAGCAGGAAAAAGTTAGGCAAACAGTAAATTATGGCTTGTCACTCTGTCAAGAGGGAAAAGCAGAATATAAAGCAAGCACAATAAGAAATAAAACATGTCCCAGGCAAAAAAATGAGGGATACAGCCCAGGTAAGTGAGAAGCAATCATGAGTAAAGGGACCTTAGTACACCAGAAATGTGCTTCTGCCTGGTCCATGCAGTATCAGGGAGCCAGTCAGTCCACTGACAACTGCCAGTTGTGTCCTCTTTCATGGGTCAGGATGCATCAAGCTGCCGAAAAGCCCTGCTAAACAGAAAGGATCCTGCCCTGGTCAAGCTTTGAAGAACAGTATTCAATGCTGAGCCCATTATTACCACAGTGGATCTCCAGGTTTCTTTCCTGAAAATTTTGATCCCAGACATGTTTTCAAAGGGCTGACAGGCAATAAACAGCCCCCCAGGACACTCCCAGCCTTTTCCAGTTCACTGCTGAAACTGGAGGTGATCCAAAATAACACAGAATAAATCCCATGGTAAAGCATGCATGGTGAGGAAATCCTCCATGTCTTCAATAATATTCTTGGCCTCTTATAGAGTCCCAAGGTAAGAAGGCAGAGATGGGATCTCATTTCTCTGACCTGGAAGTTCTCTGTCCTTGAATGGATCATCAATCTCTGTGCTCTTCGATCTGGCATCGCTTTCACATACTGGGGTCTCATAGCTGAAAAAGAACAGAAGAAGCTAAACTATGTGACATAGCTTTAGTGTCATCACATGGTCACTAACAGGTTGTGTCTTATCTGCTTACTGCAGGGAAAACCAATAAACCTGCAGAAGAAATACCACTCTCAAGCATCTACCTGTTTATGGACAGTCAACAGCAGCAGCAGAAGTGGAAAGAGAAGGAGGAATATATTTTGAAGTCCAGTACCAGCTACCAAGCAAAATCCACAAAGAGCACAAGGCTCTCATCCAAATCTTGTGGGCATAGGCTGAGATTTTTTTTCAAAGCTGTCAATGCTCTACAGAATCACTGTATCTAGCAAAGTTTAGCTCCCATCTCTTACAGGCCTGTTTTTACAACTTGCCAGACCCAGCTTGTTTCTGAATCCCAAATGACAAAAGACTCCCCAAGTAGTTTTAAGATACAGAGGAACTCACAGAAAAAAAAAAAAATCTATCACTAGCTTAAAATCTATCAATGCACAACGAAACAGTCTTCTAAATCCATACTGGCAAGAATTCAAGTGGCTGCAGCATGGAAGTATAAAGCAGAGGATAATGCAACAAAGCCACTTGCCTTTTCATTGCCTGTGCCCGTAATTTGCACTCTTGAGCAAAACCCCAGTTCCTGCTACCACCCAAAAGCAGCAAGCCAGAGAAAAAAAGGCTGCTTTGCCTGAATACTTAACACCGGCAAAAGGGCAGCAGTTTCTATGTACCAACTCCTATGGAGAGGGAGCTGCATAGTAACTTTCAACAGGGAACATCACATATGGCACTGCTAGCTCTAAGGAAGATAGTGCAGAACTGACTGCTCTAGAGTGAGGAACTGATCTGATATTGTAACCATTTTTTAATGTCTCATCTTCTCCAGGTAGGCACCTCACCAGGCCTGTCTATGGCTCTTACCGAGTGGAAGTACCAGGCAGGGGACGTCCTGTGTCCACGAGGACGCACCAGCAGTACCCAGTTGACTGGTGGCATTGCACTGGTTTGTAGAGCCCTCCAGGAGCACACTCAGGGATGACGATACCCTCACGGGGGTTCTGCCTGGCCTCCTCCAGGGCACTCTGCCTTTCCTGGTCGCAGGAATGAACTTTCTCTGGAAGACACAAAGGAGGTTGAAGAGGGTGAGGGAAAAAATATAATAAAAAAATATAATCAAATCAAGTTCACCTTTCTCAGCTCAGCAGGACATGGTATCCTTCACATTAGGAGCCCCTTGTGTCTGTTTCCTTCTCATCAAACACCAGTACGTCTATATCCCTAAAGACTCAGAGTCAAGAGCTTTCTCCTACATTTAGCTATGACACAAGATTATGGATTATAGACATTGACTGCCAAGTGCCCAACAAGTCAAAAACAGTAAGAAAAAGTGTTCCCAGTCACTGGGGTTTTGGAGCAGAACTATCAGGTCACAATTATTCACCATTACTGCAGCCATGGGGTAAGCATTTACAGATTATGTTTTCTCATACAAAAGATTCTAAATGGACTTGTATTTTCCAGTTAAAAAAAGGAGGCAAACACCCTGCTCTGTCCCACCGTCTCTTTCTTCAGACTGCAAAACACCCTTACTTCTCAAGAACACCTCTCCAACACGATTCCAAGAGAAGCAGGTTGTGTTTTAGCACCGCCTTATCTAGTGCAGACAGCACCTGCACACACCTCAGCATGGAACAGAATGGGATATCCATTCCACCCACACTGCCATAGCCTCTCCAACACAGGTGTTGTCCTCACCTGGAAAACAAAGGATACCCAACACTTCCTCCTACTGAGGGGTAGGTAAGGCCCTGTCTCTGAATAACCTATTACACAGAAAAATGCAATTTCCAAAGACATCTTCAAATACAACAATATGGAGCTGGCATGCACCAAAGAAAAGGAAGAAGTCCAGAAGGGGCTTCTGCAGTCAGCCTGGCACATAGAGCCCTAATGCTGTTTCTTCAACCACCAACTGTGAGGAATGACAAATGCATGGAGAGTGCCAGGCTGCTGCCTCTTACATGGACCAGCCATTAAAGGGGGAAGAGATGTACAGAATACCTGCAGGACCTTAAGATATTTGACTCAACAGCCAGAAGTTCTCAATTATAAGTCTTCAAGCATTCTGGCCCTTTGATGAGTAGGAAAATCATTTGAACTTTGTCAACTACCAAAGGTATCACAGTGAGAAAAAGAGCAGTCAAGGCAGCTGAACACAGGATTTAAAAGACATCTAAGTCTATCCTGAGGAGAGTGACATAAAACAGAACCAGGAACAGTTGCCCTCTTCTTCCCTGGCCTTCCTTTCCCTTGAATTTTACTGTGGTTTTTCTTTTTTTTTTTTTTTAATAGATAAGCCACAAGACCTGAAATTTCTTGCCACAGGCAAAAACCCCTTAAGCTTTCAGTGCATAAAATGCTTCAACACTGACCAGCAACACCACCACAGGTTCAGCCCAAATCTGTAGATGTTCAGACTGTCAGCCAGCAGACATGGCCATGACCCCAGCATCCTGCTCCCAGGACTGGCTTAGCACACGTGCTCATTGTTTCTTTGCATTTTGCCTGCCTGTCCATACCCCATCAGTTACATCTTATATTTTGGGGATAAATTGCGGTGCAGAAAGTAATTTTTGTTGCATATTTGAGGAACAGAAGGGGTGACAATTCACAGCTAGAATTCCACAGCTTGGTAACAGAAGGTACAACACAAAAAACTCCAGCAAGTCTGCACAGCATCACCTGAGTACAGCACACTTGGGTATCAGAAGCACTTTTATTGGATGCTAATTGGACAGTAGCAGCTGAAGAGTCTAAGAGACCCAAAATGGTCTTGCTCTCTTCAGCATTTCAGATCACTGTTGAGGCTGGGAATGTGAAGAGCACCTGAACTTTGCCACACACAAACCTATACAACCAAAATACAGAATAAAAACTTTTAAGTGTCGGGAAGTCTGACTCAAGCAGAGAGAAACTTGACTGGGAAGGAGCAGGAGGGGATAAAGTCAACAAAAAATGAAGGGAGCTCAAGCCTCAGCTGGTATTTAAGCTGACTTCACTTCGCTGACAGATTTTGCATCTGAAAAAAATGCCCTGCAACTGTTCCTAAGCTGTACGTGGACAGAGAAGTCATTGACTGAGAGGCCTGCAGGCTACCTAACAAACCACTTACATCAAGAGGGGCCCCTGCTTACCCACCGTCTGCCAACAGCAATTCACACCTTGGCCATCGGGTGAGGCCAATCATTCATGCAACTTGGGGAAGCAAAAACAGGGGCAAAATTCCCTATCATTATGCTATAAGCAAAAGAAAAAAACCTTCTGCTAAAGAGAACTACATTCCAGGAATTTTTCTTTCTAAATCCCCAAAGCTTCCTGAGTGCACAAAGTCAAACCAAGATTTCTCAAGTCTTGCAAAACTAGCACTAAAATTACTCAGAAAAAAATACAGTGAGCTTCTTTGTGTGTCAGAACAAAAGAATATGCCATGTTAATTGAAATTAAGGGAAAAATAAAGAATAAGCATCTTTATTGAGTATCTCATTTTACATACATTTGCAGTTAGGTATGCAAATTACACAGAATAAGTGTACAGACATACATATTTGTGCTATGCCATAAAAAGTACAAAAAATTCTCTGCACATATTAAGACAAATTTGTGGGAATTGAATAGTCACAACATTGACTACCAGAATTCATAACTAATTGGTAGTTGTTTCTGTTTGAAGGCTGTTTAAAGGCTGAGCAAAATAAATCTTACAGGTTTTGTTCAGTTGACATTAAACAGACGTAATGATGCAAAATCTGCCATTGTCACCAATATTCAGTGGCCCATCATTAGCAGTGATAACAGTACAACTGAAATAGCAGGGAGATTCAGACTTTTCTCATTTCTAGTATACATCTAGAAGTAGCTGCTATGAAAGTTCCTCCTTGCTTTACAGATTCCTACTTCATCTCTTTTACATGCTGAAGAGTCCCAGCTGACAGTTCTTCTCTGAACCCTTTCCAGATGCACCATACTTTCCTTGAGTTAAAGGAGATCAGACTAGCAAACACATTGACTCTGACAACAGCCTCGTGGAAAGTTCCTTCAATGACATCTGTCTACTAAGCAGAATGTATTAACTAGCACTAACTCCCAGAGAGAGGCTCTTTCCTCCAGGCTATAACTCTAACAGCACTTATTTACCTTAAAAAATAAAAATTAATATTAACAGTTGGGGTATTCAACAGCCAGCAAAATCAGCTGGGAAAACCATACCATCAGGTTCACTAGCATGGGACTTGGCATGAACTGCATGTACTGTCACCCTGCAAGATGGTCTTGTGGGTAACGAAGGGACCATCAAATGCTATCCCAGCTCCAGGACACTGAAGTCTGCCTGTTCCAGTCAAACTGCTTACTGGAAACTTTGCTGTTGTTGCCAAGGGCAGGTTCATAGAGAATAATGAAAGTCTATGGCCAAGCTAGAAAGTTTAATGCCAGATATGAAATTAAGCTGTCATCTTACAAAGGAAGCATATATTTATTATACATGCAGGGTACTTAAAAGCTTATTTCCTGTTAATGTGAGTTACAGGCACAGAAAGATAAAGCAAGGTGTTCCTTAAAAAACCCTAAACTATTACAGGAAGAACATTTAAGACAGCAAGTCAGTGGGACACAGTCTTCCTAGGATGAACAGTAGTATCACACCCATTTATTTCTTTATTTTAAAGGCACTGTCACATTCTGCTGTGTTCTGCCATCTCTGCTTTAACTTAGGACAACCATCAGCAAAGAAACTGAGTAACACTTGCCAACTTGCTGTTGCTGGGGAGCAAAACCATCAGGAGGCATTTAAGACAGCAAGTCAGTGGGACACAGTCTTCCTAGGATGAACAGTAGTATCACACCCATTTATTTCTTTATTTTAAAGGCACTGTCACATTCTGCTGTGTTCTGCCATCTCTGCTTTAACTTAGGACAACCATCAGCAAAGAAACTGAGTAACACTTGCCAACTTGCTGTTGCTGGGGAGCAAAACCATCAGGAGGCAGCAAATCTAGATTTAAAAAAATCCAAAGGAATGTATGCACACACACAGATAATCACTGCCAGAAATACCTATTTTACCTTAATTGCTCAGCTCTAAAATGCTAACTGTTTGTTCCTTCTTACCCTTGACTGCTTCTAACATTTGCTAAAACATTTTTTAGAGTAGTGTCTCTGAAGCTATGAGCTATTGTAGGAAAACAGGGCTTGGACATCTGCTGTTGCACATTATTTATGCAACAATTTTCCCCTAGTAATGTTCTTCTGAGAAGTACATGGTCAGATTCATTAAAAGGTCTCTGACTCCTGGTCCCTTAAGCACACACATTCAAACATTCATCTAGTGCCTACACAGTAAGAAAAAAAATGATGGATGAGGTCAGGGACTCTTC